GACGGGACATGCAGATCTGTTTTTGCAGAGGAGGGAGAGCTTGTACCTGAATAAAACTTGATCTTATAGGTGCCACTGGACTGTTTTGGACCGGGGGGGGGGTTTGCTTCTTGCTCTGACTGAGGGCTGCTGAGAGCAGGGGGTGGGGCTTGTTGCATGTGCCCGCCCCCTGGGCTCTTTACTGCCGGAGCTCCACTCCTGTGCGCTCCTGCAGGAAATGACCCCTGGATCTACTTCAAGAGATGTGATCTCTGTTGAGTTGAAGAAAACAAGTTGGCTTCTAGTCACCAGGCAGCTTGATGGGTGTTAAGCCTTTTGGAGTTAGTCGAAGTCAAACGCCGCAGCCTGAGTTGTGTGTGTGAACGGGACGGGTATAAATTGCTCCTCGACAGATGTTGCCGCCCGCCCTGAAAAACGGGCCTGTCAGCAGTTGCTTCAGTCACAGAACTTCGCCGGTGATGCTTTGAGTGGCAGAGGGAAGACCAGCGGCTCGTTTTCTGCGAGTCAGGTGGCCGTAACCGTGCAGCACAAGAGCCTGGTCAAGCTGGCTTCTCCACTGGCAGGAGGCCCAGAGAAGCTGAAATGCAGCATTGCTTGGAGAGGGCCTCGCTTTTGAAGCTGCTTCTCCACTGAAGGAGGTTTCCGGGCAGAAACAGAGTGGCAGTTCCAGGGGTGTGAAGATGACCCTAAGGCATAGGGACCAGTGCATGAGCCACAGGGATTCTGGGACTACCTGGCTGGATTTGGAACACCTGGGGCAGGTGGCTGGCCTTGAAAACAAAACCCCTGTAGCAACACCCTGTCTGTCTGTTTTGGTTGGGATGGCAGGGCACTTGTGCAAACCTTGGACAGTCCCCCTCTCCCCTTGGCAGGGGTCAGTCCTGGAAGCCGTGCCCGGAAGCTGTGAGCTCTGTTTGGAGCTACCGTGATCACTTTTGCATCCTTGGTCTTGCAGGAAAATTTGGCGTCCCCGTCTTGCCAATTCCCCGGCCTCCTGGGAAGGAGAAGGCAGGCAGGCAGGCAGGGAGGTATTTTTTTTCCCCCTTGCAGGAAGTGCACCCGTTCTGCAGCTTCCACAAAGCAGAAGGCTGTCTGACTCCCTTTTTCTCCCGGCTATCATTTCCTTAATGCAAAACAAATATTGAATATTGCCTTAGGTGGATTTGGTTGCTTAAGGGAGCTACAATCTTAACAGCAGCTGCTTTCTTTGGGTTTGTTAGGACGTTTCACCCAGCTGTTAGTGGGGGGAAAAGTTATGGATCGTTTCCTCATTTGTTACCAGGCGCTGCAGCTGCTTTGAGACTGCGCCGAAAACTGTGGGGATTCCTGCAAAACCTATGAGGCATCCAGTGTTTTCTAGCTCTAGGCTGATCCTGCATTGAGCAGGGGGGTTTGACCGGTGGCCTGTATGGCCCCTTCCAACCCTGTGCAATTCTATATGATTCTCTGAAAAGGCTGGCAGAAGAAGGCAATCTGTCATCCGTTGCACTGAGAAAACGCAGCAACGTTGGGTGCGCTTTTGGGTGAGTCTTTGGTTCCAGCAGGGCGACTGAGACCCAACAGGGCTGGCCAGGGTGCTGCCTGGATGGATAGCAGGGCTGCCGACCCCCAGGTGGCCCCTGGAGATCTCCTGCTTTTACAGTTGATCTCCAGACCCCTGAGACTCATTCCCCAGAGGGTGGGCTCTGTGGCCCTGTGCCCTGCTGCGGTCCCCCCCCCAGCCCTGCCAAACCCAGGCTTCACCCCCCAAAACCTGCAGGTATTTCCCAGCTCAGATCTGGCAGCCCTTCCTGATCAAGAGTGACACAAAAGGGCTCCCCTGTTTACATGGAGGGGTCTGTTGTAGGGTCGCCGGGTTCCCTCTGGCCAATGAGCGAGGGGATGGGAGGTAGAGTTAAAGATCTGGGTTGGGAAACGTCTGGCAATATGGGGGTGGAGCCTAGGGAGGACAGGGACCTCAGTCTGGTGTCGTGGTGAAGTGCGCGGACTCTAATCTGGGAGAACCGGGTTTGATTCCCCACTCCTCCACTTGCATCTGCTGGATGACCTTGGGCAAGCCGTCGTTCTGTCAGAGCTGTTCTCTCAAGAACAGTTTGCTCAGAGCTCTCTCAGCCCCACCTACCTCACAGGGTGTCTGTTGTGGGGAGGGAAAGGGAAAGGCGATTGTAAGCTGCTCTGAGACTCCGAGTGAAGGGTGGGGTATCAATCCAGTCTCCTCCTCCTCCTCTTCCTCTGCCACTGGCATCCATGCTTTGTTGGCAGGCAGGCAGGATGCCCCGGGGGCACCCAGATGAACACGAGGGTCGTCTTTTTTGGAGTAAACCTGAGGAGCCTGAGCCCAGCACAGGTTTCCTGCAAAACAGCTGCTTGAAGTGGTACACCAGAGGGTCTCAGCCCACT